GAAAAACAGCGGGACAAGAGGAAGTATGGATACACCTTTAATTAGGACCCTGTTTTTTGCAAACAAAAAAAATTATGCAAGGCAGTTTGCATAAAGCCAGTATAATACAAAACAAGATGAAAATGTAACTTGAAAGCCAATCGACATTCAAAACTAACAGGATCTTAATACAGTAGTATAAAGCAGCACCAGAATGCAAGGACCACTCTAATAAAGCAATTTTAATAGCCAATCCAAAAGCATGTAGTGAGAGAGTCAGACCTACTAGCACCAAGTGTTATTTTCCCACCCTGCCCTTAATTCCATGAGCTGTAATCAGCAGCCCTTTCCTCCGTCCTCCTAAAATACTTTTGAGCCCGTGACATGCAGAACATCTGATTCCTGTGATAGCGTACAGTGGTGGATTTTTTATTTTTTTATTTTAAATGAAAATAGTTCAGTTGCCTTGAAATGGCAAGTGGTTGATTCCTGCAATGATAATGCTGCGTTTCTATCAGTGACCTTTATAAGACATTTACATTTTCTTACAAACCCACACAAGTGACAAGATGAGTTCCTGTTAGTTAAGGTTCTCCTAATTGCTACACTGATTTAAATTTTTTATCTTGCCCCATAGAGAAGGATTCAGTTGGGATAACAGTCCTTTCAAAGCCAACCCACATAGTAGCTATTAAATAAAACATCCATTGCAATGCAGAGTAGGCTACAGCAATGCAATTGCAGCTTAGCCCAGCATCCCAAACAAGAAACTCTTACAGAACTTTCAAAAGGTGAGGTTCTCCCTCCTCCATTTTATCCTTGCCACAACAACTTTTTGAGGTAGGTTAGGTGGAGAGACGATGACTGGCCCAGGGTCCCACAGTGAACTTCATAATCGCATGGTCTCCCAGGGTTTAGTCCAACACACTAACTACTACACCATAGGTAAAGGGACCCCGACCATTAGGTCCAGTCATGGCCGACTCTGGGGTTGAGGTGCTCATCTTGCTTTATTGGCTGAGGGAGCCGGCGTACAGCTTCCGGGTCATGTGGCCAGCATGACTAAGCCACTTCTGGTGAACCAGAGCAGCGCACGGAAACGCCGTTTACCTCCCCGCCGGAGTGATACCTATTTATCTACTTGCACTGGTGTGCTTTCGAACTGCTAGGTTGGCAGGAGCAGGGACCAAGCAACGGGAGCTCACCCCGTCGCGGGGATTCAAACTGCCAACCTTCTGATCCGCAAGTTCTAGGCTCTGTGTTTAACCCACAGCGCCACCCGCATCCCATTATACCATACTGGGGAAATAATGCATGCTGAATTTGCTCTTTTGAAATCCACAGTTTAAATGAGAAACACCTAAATCTCAAAATAAAGGGGTAGCCAAAGTGAAGCACTCCAAATGTTATTGGACTCCAGCACTCACACTGGCCATTCTGGCTAGGGCTGATGGGAGCTGGAGCCCAACCACATCTGGTATATGTATATACCACTTGACCACAAGGAAAGCTCAAAGTGGTTACAAAAATAAAGCATTTAAGTCATTTTTTAAAAAAACCCAGGTTTTTTTTAAAATTTACATACCATTAAGATGAGTCTTCAGTGTGTTTAGTGGTTGGCAAACCCATAGGAAGCTCAGGGAGAAAGTGACTTGAAATTAATTGTTTCATTCATTTTATATTTGCTATACTTTTCTCAGTAAGTCATTTCAATCTAAGCCTTGTTGGATACCTATGAGGGCACTGATGTTTGCTGTGATTGCATAAGACCTTGCTGTTTTCAAAGAGGTGTACAAGCCAGTTATATTTTAAAATAACTTAATTGCCAGTCAGTTTATTCCTGGGTTCTGATCTTCACCTTTAAGATCTAAAGTCTCTGGTCCCATTTATTTCCATTAAACCTTTTTCTTTTCTGAATCCCTTTGAATTTTAAGACCTGCTAAAGAATCCCAGGTACAGGTTCTGTCCTGCCTTCTAGCAACTGGGTTTTTTCTGCTGTGGATCCTGTTGTGTGCAACAGTCTCTCCCAGCAGATCCTTTCTTTAATTCCTCCAGGCTTTTGGGAGCTGATCCTTTTTCATGCAGGGGAGGAGAGAGGTATTTTATTCTATTTTATCTGGGTTTCAGTTTTAAGGTCTTTTAAGGTTTAGTAGGCGTTATAAGAGTTCAGTATTCTGATGCAAAACTTTAAATGTGGTATTTGAATATTTTAAACAAACACAAATATGTAAGAACAGTGACCTTCCTGTGGGTGTCTGCTATAGACCTCCAAACATTCAAAAAGTAAAGATACAATAGTTATGGGAAACTTCAACCAATATCTGTTGGAACTCAAGCTCTCTCAAGAATATAATGGCCAGCAAATTCCTCAGTTGCCTCACTGACTGTCATTTCCCAGAAAGTGGAAGAAACAACAATGGGGTCATCTCTCTTACACCTGGTCCCGACCAATAGGGAGGAAGAAGTCTGAGTTCCAACATGTGCAGAGGTGGTAGATTCTCCTTCCTTGAAAGTTTTAAAGCAGAGTTTGGATGGTCATCTGTCATGTGTGATCTAGTTGAGATTCATTCAATGCAGGGGGTTGGACTAAATGACCCTCAGGGTCTGTTCCAACTCTACAGTTCTATGATTCTGTGTAAACCACTTTGAGTTCTCTTTGACCATCAAGCAGTGTATACCTTTTACGATATAAATTAATGAATGAAATGAAACCACGTGGAGGCTGTTCTACTTGGCAGGTTGTTTATGTAAGTCCTGGCCTCCTTCTTCTTTTTTGTATTGTATGGGTAAAAGGAATTGAGTTGCTAGGATGCAGTCATAGGAGCCCTCCTCTACTTTTAAATCCACTACTGAATTTAGATGTGAATCGGTGGCAAGATCTTCTTTTCCAGCAACCCTGGAGTTCTATTGACTATAGCAGAAGAAGGAAGGGACAGGCAGGAGAGAAAGCCTGTCTCTTTTCCCCTGGGGGAACAGCAACTGCTGCCCAGGGATATAGGTGAAGCAAAAATCTTCCTTGGCATCTTTCTTGGAAAAAAAGATAATGTCAGAATTTTCCAGGATTCTGGTCTGATTCTGTAAAAAGCTAAGTTGGTTCAGCGTCCTGGTTTAGAGCTTTTCATGTTCAGTCCCCAGCATTTCCAGATGGGGCTTGGAATGTCCCCCATCTGAGTGTCTGGAAAGCCACTGCCACTTAGTGTGGACCACAATGAGCTAGATGGGCCAAGGAACAGCTTGGAACTTCAGCCATAGCCACCCAGCAGTGGCATCACTGTGTTGGGAAAGGGAGGGACAGGGCAGCGGTAAGGACCTCTGTTGGTGTGACTGCACAGTGCCAACCTCACTGATGCCCCCATCTGTCTTCCAACACCACAGTTGCTTCATCCCATTAGATGAGCTATTTCTGGATAGAGTCTAGACCAATGTCAGGTAGTTTGGGGTGTGTGTGTGTTTGTGTTTAAATGGGGCACACATTGTCCTCTCCCTTCCCATTTAATCCCCACAACAACCCTGTGCAGTTGGTTAGGCTGAGAGTGAATGACTGGCCCAAGGTCACCCAAGGAGCTTTATGGTCGGGGGGGATTTGAACCCTGGTTTTCCAGGTCATAGTCTGATACTCTAACCACTACACCACTTGAGCTCTCTCATGAAATAGGGAGCTAGTGATGGCATACTGAAAATCACTGGAATCAGACCAGGAACTGTGCCCCGAAGTTGCTTAAAACTGCTCCAACTTCCATTTTTAAAAAGCAGCTACCATATTGCAGGTTACACATAAAAGACAGGCTATAAACTGTAAGCTTTTTAATTTTATTTTAAAGAAGCCTAGTTTCATAGAAATGGTTAAATTTGCTGTTCTTCCTCATTACTTGTAGATTTTCATTTCACTTCAACGGTGGTTGGCAGCAGCTCAGGACTTGATTTGTCAAGACAAGTAGGCTTAGCAAAAGAATGATTATGTCCTATATGAAGGCATTATCATTAAATCTCAAATGAAAATATTACAGGCAGAAATTATAAGCAGGAATTTCTACAACAAAGATATCCATTGGCAAAGTCTGCCCTTATAATCAAGCAATGAGCATACCATTTTTTTTTTAAAGGGAGAAATCTTTGCCCACATATACACTAATAAAAATAAATCTGTTTCCGATTACTAACTATGCAGCACAGGTGCTTGTTTGTTATGAGAGAGGCATGTTCATTAATTTTCAGCTATGAAAAGTGCACTGTGCCATAAATATACAATTCAAAATGTACTGCTGATGAATGGATACACAGATTGTTAATGTGCCAGAGTAGGGTATTGGGCATAAAACACATGCCAAACAGGAGCACACTGGTGATGTGCTAATGCTTTTAAATCTGGGTTTAATGTAAGCACATAACCAGCTTTTTACATTATTGCACTAAGTTTTAGCAGAATTTAGGGCAATATCTATTTTATGGGACATTTTACTTTCTGCTTTATTTAATAGTGCTTGACACCCATAGAGCACTAGTATCCGGAGATCACAAGGCTTTAAAAAAATGTTAATTAATGAGTAAACGGAGGCACAGATCAGTGCCTCTTCAGAAGCTAGAACCCAGAAGTCTGGATTTTTACATTTTCAAACTATCCAACATGGGAAAATAACAAATATTTAGGCTGCAGTCCTATGCATGCTTACCTGGAAGTAAGCCCCACCAAGCTCAGTAAGCTTACTTCTGAGTAGACGTGTGTAGGACAGCACTGTTCATGATATATTTGCAAATAGCAAGGAGCAAAGTTTATGGGAGTCCTGTCTCCCATAGATGTGTGTTGTATATACAAGTTCTCTCTTGTGATTTTACTCATCTTCTAGACTCCCTTGCCCCGAGTTCAGCTTTTAATGCTTTAAGCAGACAAATGTACGGTGCTCAGTGTTGATTTTTACGTCTTACAGTCATAAACAGCGAACTCTCATAGAATCATAGAATTGTAGATTTGGAAGGGGCCACTAGGGTCATCTAGTCCAACCCCCTGCAATGCAGGAATCTTT